CCTGCTGAAGGATGGGCTGTGAGGAAAGTCCTTGGCTTACACCCAGCTTCAGGGTAATCCAGCATCTCTTCTGACAGGATGGTATGACTCCTGCTTGCCTAATTAATAATGATGTCCATGTTAAGTGAGAGTAATAAATTTGTCTAAGGGAACCAAGTATGGCTCATTAGGCAGGTCCTTTCAAATTAAGGCAGAATGCTTCTTTATCACTGAGTAGTGACATCGCCTTCCCTTCTGCAGAGGTAATCTTTTCTCTTTTGAAAGACTGCCCTCTCCAGAAGCAGCACTGTTCCTTTTTGATTACTTGTGTCTTTTCATTTTATGTATGAAGAATGCATTAAATACTCATATTTTGACTGTTATTTAAATCCGCTAAGGTGCAAGAGACCCTCAACTTTTACTACACTCAGGGAGAGTTGAGTTTTTCTACTCTACAAAGGTCTGTGAAATAGAAAACAAAGCTATGTCAACCAGTTTCATGCTCATGACATGATTTTTACCGAGGAGGTGCTCAAGAACTGTCTGGATGTCTGGTTTACCTGTAAGGTTATATGCAATATACAGAGTAATTTGGTGATTCAATTGTAAATATTGGTGATGCTGGTGAGCAGTTTTTGACCTGAACAACAATTCACGTAAGATGTTCAAAACCATTGAGATAATTTTATTTCAGCTATTAAAATGAGTTAAATATTAATGTTTGTGATATTAATTATAATAACTCTTAATAATGCACAGATGAGAAAACAAACAAAACCTGCTTTCTTTGTTGACTAGTTTAGACAATCCTGCAAAAAGAAATCTGCCCTGTCATAACCAAGATTCAAACCTAGGACATAAATTCTCCGAAGATAAAAAGCATTCTCCCATTAGTTCAAGAGTGCAATAACTCCAAGGCGACTGTAAAAACTAATCACATCATGCCTTTACACTTGTTGGCATCCGTGCCCTGATTATTTTACTGTTTGTGTCTCCTTTCACTTATCAGCTCCATCTACATAAACATACATCCTTCTTTCCAAGGGATTCTAATGATCTACTTTATCTAAAACTTTGGGAACACTTTTCTTGAGCATCACCATTAGTTGCTATGGAGATGGTTCTAATAGCATTTACAGGCAGCAGGGAACAGATTCACCCCAGAGTGAAAAAAAGATGCTGCTTCTTCAACATATCCTCATTAATCAAATAAAGAAAAAACGATCCATGCAGACATACACGTGTTTGTACATATCTCATTTTATTTGGACTCTTCTGAATTTTAATCTTAAAAAATGTA